CTGTATTATCTAGAGGAGTCCCGCGTAATGATTGTACTTACACATGTATGCATGACCTACCATTACCCTGCCATCTGTAAATCCCACCTACCAAGGCCCTAACCTCGCTCCTGTCCCCTCTTTCACCCCCTGACGAAAGTTGGCAACTCACTCGAAAAAAGCAAAAGCAAACAAACAAACGCAAATTTTGTTCCCTTTTATTTTTTGTTTTATATTTGTGAAAAGCGCGCGTGGACAATGGAGCTGGGCTGTAACTGGGCGCGGCGGCGGCTGTCTGCACGTGTGTGTTGTGTGTGCCTGGGCCGCTGTGTGTGCCGCTTGTGTGTGCTTTGGAGCAACTAGTTGTGGGCCGTGCCCATTTCATTTCGTCGCAAAAATATCTGTAAACACGCAGCTTGTTTCTGAAAGCCCCCCGTTATCCCCAAGCCTCAGCTTTTGGGCTCTCTCTCTGGAGTGCGCCAGGCGCGTTAAATAAAATCTCGCACGCTTCGTTTGGTGAGGGGGGGGAAAAAACAAGTTTCCCCCCAAACTACACACAAACTGCCTCGGTGAAATGCAAAACAAATTAGAAAATAGGTTTGTCAACATCACACAGGCAGCAGCAGCAACAGCAGCAGTCAGTTTTTCAAACTCGAAAAATTGTGGGCGGACATGCCACGCCCCGTCGGCCCTCGGTGTAATGGGTTTTTAGTTTCCAGGAAGGATTTACTCTACGGCCTGTGGAGTGATATTCAAATTGCAGGGAGTGCAATGTTCCGACATTTGCTGATATGTCTGCTACCAGCTCATAAATAGCAGATGTTTTTAGGGAAGGATGGTGAAATATGGTTGAAGAGAAAGGTAAAAATACATAAAACTTATAAAGTTAGTATTTTAAAAATAATTTTAATATTAGAAGGGAATTTTACGTAGGCTCTAGAAGCATTTTAACAGAGAAAGATCGATACTTTAAATATTATTTATAATAATATTGTCAATTGTGTGGAAAAAGGACTAAGGACATACCAATATTTAACAATTAATGAAATTTTAAAAGCAATTGGGCAAAAATTTTAAGTAAATAAAAGAATACTAAATTTTAAAAACACTAATCATAATTTTTGAAGTTAGAATCAAAGGTTTATAAAATCAGGATCAGAATATTACTTAGTTATTAAGTGTTTACCAATTAATTTATTTATTTTTATTATAGTTTACTTTGAAAATTTAATCACAATTGAAAATGTTTAATTAAAAATATGATTTCCTTATTTTAAAACTACCTATACTTTATATTATGCCTTTTTTAATATTTTCCCAAACTTTTCAGCCAACTTAAAGCCTTCTTTACTAAGGACTCCCCCGAAAACTAAACCTGCCAAAAATATTCTCAACCCAAAAAGGCATTCAGGCAAGGCAAGTTGGCCAAAAACCCATTTATCAGTGAATGAGCCTCCGAACAATATGTGGCGTTAAATGGCTTGTCAATCATCAAGTCGAGTTCATTAAACGCCTGGCAGCGCTCTTTGACGTCATAAGCGGTACACGCACTCGGCCAAAGCGGAGCGTGATAAATGTTTGAAACAAAAGTGTTACTGACCTCACATTACACGTAAAAAACGTGCAGGTTCAAAAACCCAAAAAGTCTGACATTTTTTTTTTGGAGAGCCAGTGCAAGGTGCGCGGAGGAAAGCGCCAAGCGAAAGAGATGGGTAGAAAATGAGTAAAAAAGATAGCAATTCGAAGAGGCACAAAGTTCGTTGTTTGTCTGAATCGAGCTTCACTTTTCACACTTTTCGTTTTCGTTGCGTTTGGAATATCTAAAAAAAATGAAAAATCCAAAAACTCTCCTCATAGAACGAGCGAAAGAGAGGACTGCTTAGCGGTCGAAAGAGACGGGTTTAGGGGCTGGCATTCCTGGTTGCCAAGGCAACAACAACAATTGAAAAAAAAAACCAACAACGATCGTTGGAATGCAGCAGCTACAACAAAAACAACAAAACATGGCTTGAAACTACAGCAGAAAAAAAACTGGCTATGTTGCTTTTTTTTACAACGATCTGTTGTGGCTGCTCGTTTGGTACATCGAAAGAAATGGGGGTAAAATGATCTATTTTAAAAGGTTTTCTATTTTTTAAATAAAGTATCCCGAAGATTTAAGCATTTTTGAGACCTCGATCATAATGCCGCCAGAAGCGTGTCACGTTTTTCGAATGATTACTGCTTATTCCTTGACTTTTGTAAATTTAATTTGCTTGACATTAACAGGGTAGCAAACCCTCTTTTTGACTAAAATTAATTATTTTTAGTGGCAAAAAGTATTTTTACATTTCATACTAAAAGTTTTTTTTCAGATACCTATTTAATTTTTTAAAACCTTTAAACTTTATTGGTATCAATTTTTTAAGATTAGTCCCCAAATAAAGATGCCAAGTAACACCACTTTAGAATTAATCAATAAAGCTATAAAATATATTTATTATTTACCTGAATATTCATTTTATTTATCTATATTTTATTTATATTTTTTAAGCTTTAAGTTCGAATCTAATATCGCAGTATTCATGGGATCTTGAAGTGTTATATCACAGATCACAAACTATTTACTCATATTTACCCCAACTTGAATTCCCTTAAATATTATTAAAATAACAAAAAATTATTTTATAATGACCCAACATAATTTCTAAGTGGAACATTCATAGCTCTAGTTTTTCCTGGCACCCCAACTAGTATTGTGCAAATAGTTATTAAAAATACACGCCCTCAATGATCACTTTGTAATGTAGAAAATAGTAGTTAATTTCCTTATACCATAACAACTCCCCCTGACTTACTTAGAAATCTAAACCCCATAAACAAGAACTTCCTTCCCCTGGGAAACCAACAAAAAATGTATTTTTTTAGTGACTCATGCTAGTTCCCAGCTATAGAAGCTCGACTGTAGTTTTTCTGCGTGTGTGTCTGTGTTTTTTCTTTAGTTGGGGGAACACGTTTAAAAGCGATCGAAACAGAGGGTCTCTCTGGGTGCTGCTGGGTGTTGGGTGCGGGGACTGTTGACTTGGCTTTTCAATTGGAAATGGACTTGGGGCCTGAGAATGGGCCTGGCTTTGACTCGAGAGCCGAGTCTGTGCGTGTGTGTTTGTATGGTATACTATAGAGATATTTGTGTGGGTTTTCGGGGATGCTTTTGTGGATTGTATGGATTGGTATGGAATGGTTTTGCTTTTGGCTTTTGGCTGGGCTGAAAAATGCTAAACCGGAATGTGGCTCATTCAGTGAAAAGAGCATAATAACGATCGCCGCAACATGATCATGATCGTGATGACGACGACGACGACGACTACGTCGGCGACTATAACTGAGCTGGGCGATCAAAAGCCAAGCTCTGTGTTTTGCTGCTGGCTGGAATTGGAATCGTATCGTCGTAACTTGAGGCCGGCAATCTAAGCGCTTGGCTTCTCTTGTTGTTGCCTTGTTTTTCTGGTTTGCCATTCGCGCTCAATTGCGCCAGATTTGCGTTTTTTTTATACCCTCGCGATGAGAGGGGTATTGTAATTTTTGATCCAGAAGTTGGTATGAAGAAGCCCCAAGGGTTTGAATATACATATATATTTTGTAATCTTTACTCTTTAATTTAGTTTGTAAATTTAGAAGTTTTCAGCTAGATATCATATTTAGTCTTGAATTTAGTTTAATTTATAAATCATATGATAATCAAGCCTTAATAGCATGACTTTTATGTATTTATAGATAAGCACATCCTGCATTGGCAATCACAATTCATTATGAGTATAAAAAGATAATCTAACTGAAATCACATACGACTTACTAAGAACCTTATCTTTTAAAATAACCATTTAATTTATTTGTGAATATAATATAACCGTTTTTTAGTTCACATTTTGAAAAGATAATTTTAGATTAATAAAACTCAGATTGTTATTTTTACTACAAAACGGAACTAGGACTTTGCTGATAAATAAAACAAGCCTTTGACTAATTTATAAAATATTAAAAATATTCAATTTTTAAAATTCGTTAAAAAATTGAATAAAACCTTGGAAAATGAAAAATAAAATTTCCCTAGTTTGTTTCCCTTTACAAATTGTTTGTTTATCAAAATAAGAAAGTAAAGGTCAGAGAAAATGTCATTATGACCTTGAAGCTAATTATTTAAACACCCGTAAATTAGTTAAATATATTCATAAACCACAATAATAATATAAAACCCGGCAAATTTTTAAAAAACAATCAGCAAGTTGAATTTTAGTAATTCCCAAAATGTCATAAAATATTCATTGGGCAAAAACAATCTTATTTATTTTATTTTTAATGTAAACAAAAACAAACTTGGCAGATTAATAGTAAAAACGTTTGTGGAAAGATCTCCTAAGCTGGTTTCCCTTGTAAATAAGAGTATACCAAATTTCGGATGCTGTTGTAAGCCATGTTTTCCATTTATATCTTTGCTGTTTTTTTTTTTTTAGCCGATCTCGACCACGCTTCAGTTGATGCAGGCCAAAAAAAAGAAATACAAATAAAAATAAAAATCAAGAAAAAAAAAAGCAAAAATGTCGCCAATGGAATGGATCAGATCGGTTCGGTGGCTCGGATCTGGGCGGTTTTTAGAGTGTGTGTACAGTTGCAGCATCATCCTCGGGTGGCAAATTGGAGGCCATTACACCGCACCGCCCCCCGGGTTTCCCCCTTTTAGGAAAATTCCCAGAGTAGAAAAGTGCCTTGGAAAAAAAAGAATCACGTTTGTACCGTTTTGTACTGATTTTTCCGCCGTGTTCTTGCCACTCGGCTTCTTCTTCTCCTCTGCTCTTTGCCGCCGCTCATTGTCATTATCTACTATTCCTCTTTCTTTCTCTTTTTTCAAGTGCAATTTTGAAATGCCACACACATACACTCAAGGCACATACACACACATACACTTTTCGTTGTTGGATAATTTTTTCTTTTTCAGCCAAAAAAGAAAAGAAGACGAGCAAAGAAAAACTTCAAGTTCGCCTCACCTTGTCTTGCACCTTGCGCTGGCTCGCTGGCTAGCTGGCTCGTTGTTGTTGCTGCCGCTGCTGCTGCTGCTGTTTAATTGCAACTTAAAGTGAATTAATCACCATTTATGCCGCCGCTTCTTCACTCCTTTTGTATCACGAAACTTTTTTGCATACTTTTTAACTGGCTTTCTTTCATTCAATTCACTTGCTGCTGCCTGCCGCTTCTTGTGCTTCTTCTTGTGCCTTTTTGTAATTAATTGAATATGCACACACACACACTGACGCACTCTCACTCCAGGCACTTACACAGGCACACACGAGCGTTGAGAGAGAGACGGTGAAGCGAGGGAAAACACGTCGTCAGGTAAACACGTCTGTGGACAGGTAAACGCGGCGCGCAACTGACGCCGCGTCTCTTTCGGCGGCTTTGGCACCACAAGCGATCGGAGCCTCTATGGTGGTCTCTTTTCCACTCAAAATGTCATAGCAGACATCTCGCTTGCTCGCGTGCACTTGTTGCAACACGGGAGCGAGAGATCGGGCCCGAAAAATACGTTACAAAGCACCGTTTGAATTTTTACCTGTGACGCGTACTAAGAAGAGAGTGGCTGAGAGTGAATATCTTTACAAAAGAGAGGGAGTAAAAGAGGGAGAGCGTTAAAGTAGAGAGCATATCAAATAGAGAGCGAGAGCGTGAGACAGGAAAACCCAAGACAACACTTACCTGTGTTTACCTGTGTTTATCTTTTTACAAATATCGATTTTCATTTACTTATGAAGCTCTTGTTTTCACTGATAATGTTATTGTCATGGTGAGGCATACTAAAAAAAATTATAAAATTTATGGTAACTAATGGTTACCAATCTTTTTCATGCATTTAACGTTGTTTTCGCTTTTAACGGATATTTCAAATTTTCCAAAAAATCCACCGTCAACTTCTGCTATTTTACGCTAGATGCCGCTGGTGAAGTTAACTTATGGGACGTATACGTAATGTCTTCCCACAAAAAGGGGGCGTGTTTATAGATTTTACTTGTAAAATAGCTAGAAATAAATGAAAGCACTATGGGCGCCATTTTTAAATATAAAAATTAAAGTTCATCAGAAAATATGGAAATCGAGTAAAAAATGTTCAAAATAACTTCAAAATTTGGGTAAATTATAATCTAAATAAAAATATATTTTCATTTGTAAACTTAAATTGTTAATCTGATATTTCGATTTTGACTTCATTTCGTTTTTTTAGAAAATTAATAATACATTCTATGTAATTTTGTATTCAGAGTATGTCGGGTAATATTAGTTTGGCTTTTAATCTTTTTAGGGTGCGGTGTGGACCACGTAGCTGTTGCGCCGCTTAACGATGCGCAGCTTGTTGACAGCCGGTGGAACAGCAGGGGGAACCGATGTGGCGGCAGCTACAATCTCGCTCATCAAAGGATTGGTCACAGGGGTTTTATTCCACGTTCTGGGCACCTTAGCCGGCGGCTGTTGTGGCTGTTCCTGTCCTGGCTGAGTCAGCCTGGATAACCTTAGCATCTCGTCGGGATTCAAAGTCTTGCGGCGCTGGGTTATACGCACAGGTGGCTCCCGAGTGACTGGCATTTGTCCCGAAGCACTTGACACCTGTGGAGCAGAGACGGGCACCGGCTGTCCCTGCACGGATTTTAGGTTTATGTGCAGCCGTATCTTGCTCATCAATTCTGCATACAGCATCCGCATCACCTTCTCATCTTTGTAGCGCGTGAAACGCAGACTGCTCTTGGTGATGATCAGCCCGTTTTGGAACTGATAGTGCACATTTCTTAGGAACTTTCGCAGGTCCTCATACGAGTGCAGGTCTTGGAATCGATGGAGATCCTCGCGGTGCTGGGTATAGCAGTGCTGGATGTAGTCGCCAAAGCCCCCGGGCAGATGCTGGGCACAAAAGTGACAGTAGAGGAAGCGACTGTAGTGATCCACCATGTGACGAAGCGTAATCAGCTCCTTCCCCGAGGTGAACATGCATAGAAAGCAGTGGTAGATAATCGGAGTGGTCACCTGGCGGAAGCAGAAGAGTTCGCCGGGCCTGCTGTGCTCGACCAGGCCATGCTGGGCAATGACATCCTTGGTAAGCATAACCACGCTGCACAGATCGCACTGGTAGTATTCCTTTTGGCCGCTGGCGCTGAGCTGTTGCAAGGCAGCCAGATCGTCGTTTTTTAGATTCTTCAGGTCGTAGGGCAAGTGACCCTCTTTGTTGATGTGCTCGGCCAGATCATGCGTGCTGTGATACTTGTAATCACAGTAGGCGCACTCCTCCGGCCGCCGGACATCGCAGGCCACAATGTTCTGGATGGAGTGGACCTTGACCAGGTGCTCGTCGCGCAGTGTTTTGGCCTCGCTCTTGAAGCGCTTGCATTCGGAGCAAAGGAGCTGTGGCTGGACGCGGAAGTAGAAAGGCTTATCGGGATGGACGAGGGCCCAGTGCTGTGTCCGCAAATCCTGCAGGTTGCTGTTCGTCTCGGAGCAGTGTGTGCAAGCGAATTTCACCATTTTCTAAGGGAAATATCAAGGTAAAAATAGAATCGAATCGACTCCAAGAACTTTTATGAACTTGCCTCTTCTTCCGGACTCTCGCTGGGCTCACTGTCTTCACTTTCACCGTCCGAAGTTAGCAGATCTACCACCTCGGGGTCAACAATTGGGGGCTGCTTTGGTGGCTCTTGATGCGGCGGCCCCTGGAGCTGCGGTTGTTGCGGCTGCGGCTGCTTCTGCTGCTGCATCTCTCCTTCAACCACATTCGAAGCTGCTGGTTCCTCCTCTTCAACCACATTCGAAGCTGCTGGTTGCTCCACTTCAGCCACCACCTCCTCCTCAATGGGCTGACCCAATTCCCAGCTCAAAGCATCTGGTATCTCATTGGTCACCCGCACAAACTGCATCACCGCCATCCCCAGCCCCTGCGGATGCTTCATCTCGATGTGCTGATTTACGATGCGCTCCTGTTGATTCCCAAATTCGCAATGCGCGCACTGCCACTGGTACCGTGACTTGTGCAGCTCCTCGCAATGCTGGCCTATACGCAGGCAGGTGCTCGCTCCCTTCAGGCACACGATGCAGTAGAAGCCGAGCGTATTCCTGGAGGAAGGATGCTGGAAGACTTGGATCGGCTGCACCCGCCGACCGGGATGGGTGTCGAGAATATGGTCTATGACCACGCAGGACTTCTTGTTGCCGAAACTGCAGTAGAGGCAGTGGTACTGGTACTCTCGATCGTGAAGGGCCTTCGCATGGGCCGCCATCTGGTCTAACGTGGGCAGGCTGACCTGGCACAGGTTACAGAAGAACTTCGTTTGCATCAAGCTGGTTCTCTTGGCTGGGGAAAGAGGAATCGTAGTCAAGGTCGTTGTCTATAAAAAAAATTTTTTCGTCTACCCTGAAACATGGCTATTCATCATCAACATTCATCATTCATATTTGATCATCATTCACCATTCACCTTTTATCATCATTACTTACGCGTCTTCAGCCACCTGGCGTTAGTATTCAGAACCGTGTCACTCTGGCGATGAACCACCACGTCCACCTCGTGCAGCGGATGCCGGTTCTGGATGTGCCGCACAATCGTCGAGCGCCTTTCGTTGTAGAGCACGCAGGCGCCGCACTGGTAAATGTACCGCTTGTGCAGCATCAGGTGCTGCAGGTACTTATCCACGCTGCTCTGGCCCAACAGACCCATCTTGCAGTGATAACAGAAGATCATCTCGATGTTGCTGTGATTCATGGTCATGTGCTGGCGCAGCTCCAGCTCCGTACCCAGCACGTGGATGCAGGGGACGAAGCCGCAACGGTAGCGATTATCCGGCGGCACATAGTTGAACTTTGGTGTCACCGCCTTGTGTTGTCCCGGTGGCCGGACTGCTGGCGGGTCTACTTGAGCTTCAAGCGAATCCCGTATAGTTTCAGCAGCCACAGCATTATCCTCCACCGACTCCACATCGACATCGGATTCTGGTACTGGTGTTGGGGCTGCATCGGTAAGGCACTCGTCCATTTGGTAGGCCTTGCGTTCGTTCCTCTTCTTGTGATCGTTCAGATGCCACAGGATGACAGCCCGCTCTTTGGTGCTGAAGTTGCACTCGCAGCAGCGCAACGGCTGTGAAAAGAAAGGAACTCGCGGCAGGAGACGCACCTCGGAGGAGCGGTAGGCCATCTTTGTGCCTTGTCTGCGTAGCAGCAACTCCTCCAGCAGCCGGCGCTTGAAGCTCTCCATTTCCTGCTTACCAAATGGCTGGACAACGGCTGTCAGGAAAACGCTTTTCGCATCAGTGGCGGCTCCTTCTCCTCCTGCATTGGCCCCTCCCGCTTCCGGATCCGTAGGCAACTGGATAAACTGCAGCTGACGTTTGATCTTCTCAAAGGCCTGGCTATGGTGTTTGCGTACATGGTAGACCATCAGCCGCTTATTGACCGCTGTGGCCAGACATATGCTACAGAAGAGCTTGTGGCGGGCATGGGACTGCTGCAGGTGGGTGCGCAGCGACGGCGGCAGGAAGGTCTGGTCGCAGTACTTGCAGTTGATCTGCTTACTGTCCTGGTTGAGGGTGCTGCGTATATGATAGAGCACATGGTTGAGGAACTGCTCCTCCGTTAGCCGCACAAAGCAGCCCTTCTGGGGGCAAGCGTACAGTTTGTCCTCTGAAAGATGAGTTTCTTGATTAGGTCTAAGGTTGAGTAGGTCTGACCGACTGGAAAGAGGTAAAGGCGTGGATCTTGGACACATTTATAGAAGCAACAAGGGGATGAGTCATCAGTATTACTACACGGGCCGACACAATTTGAAAAATCGAAGAACCAAGAAGGGGAATATACTTGGCCGATAGTTTTTATACGCCGAATTCGAATTCGGTCTTAAAGAATTTGTTATTTGTCAGGCTTTGAAGAGCTGTAACTTCAATACGTTTTATTTTTTTTTAATCTATCGTTATGCTATCGTAATAGCTTGTAATGCCTTTCTATACATTGATCTCTGGTAGAGATGGAACATGGCTTTCCTGGTTAAGTTGGAATTTTGTTCTGTGTTTAGGAGTTTAACACCAAAAACCTCGAAAAAAAGGTTTGACCTCTTAAAGTTTATACAGATTTATAATCCCTAGTCTGGGATTTATAAAATTTTCTGCTCATCACTTCCTTACGGAAACGGAATCCAGACTTCATAGTTGAGTTTTGGTTTGAATGTTCGAAAGGGAACGAATGAGCTTGATCTTTCCCAAGCAAGGACGTTGCAGGCATAATCTTGATTAAACAAGTATCAACACTGTTCTGTGTCCAAAAATAACTAGAGATGATAGATCACCTTAATCCCGGAGACATTCTGTCCGGCCAGATCCTCTTAACGTATTATTACTTGAAATTTGAATAAATAAAACGTTTAGAGAGCTGAGTTCTGGGCTTACTCACCGCTATAACCGGTGGGTAGTAGCAGCTCGGTGACTGCAGTGGCCAGTGACACCTCCGGCAGTCCGGATGCTGCAGATCCTCCAGCCTCGGCTCCTACTATTCCTGCCATATTATTATTAGCTGCCGAGGCCAGGACATCCACTGGAGTCGATGGAGCCACAGTCGTTGAGTTTTGGCCAGCCAGCGAACGGTTAAGCACGTCACGACTATGCTGGCCGACGGACGGAGTTTCCACGCCGATGCGGCTCTCCCCCGAAACAGGAACGGATAACGTTACTAGAGGTGGTACTGATGCGGGTACAGTTACCGACGATGCCAGAGAGGGACTATTCACCACTGGCATGGGTACGAAGGCCCCATTAAACACCTGACTAATGGCCAGGCCCAGGCCACTGGCATAGGTGATCACCTTAGGCTGATCGTTGGTGGTATTGATGCCGTAGCTAGTGACCACAGGCTGCTCTTGTGCCGGCGCTGTAGGTTTGGCGCAAAGGAGCTCACCCAAACAGGCGGCATTCGGAGGACGTGGCTCCGCCTGCAGTAGACCCATGAGAATGTTATTCGGTTGATCTTCCACGGTGCCAGCTGCCGCTGCTGGCTGGCTCTCTTCTTCGGGTTGTGGCTCTGCCAGGCGGTCACCAGTAAAGCGGCGTACACGCAACGTAAAGACTGGAGTAGCAACGGGTGCGGGTTCGGGTTCCAGCTCCGCTTCCGGAGCAGGTGAATTTACTTCCATCAACTCCACATTGGGCTTCTGAGGAACAGTCGCCGCTGGAGTTGCAGGACTCGGCTCGAACTCGGCCGTCTCCCGGTCAATCCATTCATCTGTCATCGCATCGCTGCCAATGCCATCGAGTAGGTCGGCATCCAGCTCGGACAGAGTGTCCTGGAGAGTGCTTGGAGTTGGCTTCTCATTCTTCACATCCACATCAACATTTTCATTATCATTAACTTCCATATACATTTTCATCAACGGTTTTTCCTCAATTAAGATGCTTTGGTCCTTGTTCTGCAGGGCCTGCTCTTCGTCAGCCAGCTCCGCCAATTCCATATCCATATCCTGGTCCATCAGGCACTCGTTGACCACAAGCAGGTTGTCCTGCTCCGCCGGTGGCATAGGCAAACCCTCTATAGACGTTAGTACTGCCTCTGTGTTGACCTGCGATACCAGCAACTGATCCACCTGCGGCTTGTACTCTTGTTCCTGATCTTTGGCCTCGTCTTCCTTTTCTCGCATCTCGCGGCGCAAGGACTTCTTGGCCATATTCTTGAAGCGTATCTTGACTTTTTTTTTGTTGGCTGCCTTTTTTTGGGCAGCCTTGGAAGTGCTAGGTCTTTCTTCGTCGTCGTCGCCGTTCATCTTGTTTTTACTATTTTTATTAGTTTTCTTGGAGTCTTTACTAGCAGCAGCCTTCGACTTTGCCTTGGTAGAGCTGGCGACGGTCCCTGTTAAGCCATTCTTCAGGTTACTCTCGACTATCTTCTGACCCTCGACCAAGGACTTGACCTTGGGCACGCCCTCAATGGTACAGAGCAGCAATCGCTCTAGCCCCAGTTCCAGCACCTCCTCCTCCTTCATGCCATGCTGCTTCACCAGATGTTGGTTCATGTGATCCCTGCTGACCTGAACAAACTCACAGATACGGCACACATACAGGCTTATGGGCAACAGGCCGCAGTTTTCATACTCCAAGATAGTGGCGCCGGGAGCACAGGTCTTTATATGATCCTGCAGGACATAAAAACGATGTTGCGACGACAGGCAGTGCGAGCACTGATACCGTCGCTCACCTGTGTGACTCAAAAGGTGCTCTGTTAGGTGCAAGGCGCGAGTACTGATCACCTTCACGCAAAACGGACACTTGTAGTAAAAGACATGGGTGGCGCCCCGGGCAATCGAGTAATCCGGTCGCTGATTGCGTCCGGCTCTAAGTTCGTTGAGTATGCCGGGCGGCATGCGGGCCCCATAGTGCTCGCCATGATTCTTGATGTAGTGCTGGAGTGGATTGTTTCGTATATTCACATTGCAGATAACGCAGGTGATGGTGACCGCTGAAGTGGCATGCCACTTGGGATTGACATTCCGCACATCCTCCATGGTCTTTTCCAAGCTGAGCGTTTGGCGCTTGGCGGCGGACCTACCCGTCTTTTTTTCTTGGCTTGGCTTCTCCTCCTCCTCATTCTTCTCCTCCCACTTCTTGGCCATTTTATCCAAACTTGGATGACGCTCAAGCTGGACCAGGCAGCCTCTCGTCTGAAAGCTGGCACGGTTTAAGCCCACGTTCACTGAACTGGGACCCCTTAAGCGCTTGCCCCGGCGGGCCACATTACGGATTGTAATGGGTGAGGTCATGCGACTGCTGCTGCTGCTGTTGGTCTCCAGCGACGGCGAACGAGGCGCCGAACGCTGGGTACACGCCCGACGGCCGGTGGCCTTGAGCACATCTGCGCCGTAGTACATCATGGCTATGTCATCATTTAGCATCTCCAGCTCATTGCGCTTGGGCCGGCACTTATTGCGAGGTCTAGCCGTTGTCGGCGGCACAGGCTGAGGTTGAGGCTCTGGTTGGTAGTCAGGCTGGTTCGAGACATCTGAAGCCACCGAAACGCTCCAGCGACGCTTGCGAGTGGAGGCTTTGCTCGATGTGGATGCTTCGCTAAGGGAAACATCGGCGGCAGCTGGAGCCTTAGCCTGGGTTGCTTCTTTAAGCTGGACTTTGGCTTTAGCTGGAGTCATGGTCGATCTTCTCCTTCTGTTGATCTTTCCCAAACCAAAGCTGCGTCGGCTCTGCTGCGTCTTGTTAAAAGAGGTCTCTGAAGCACAGCGTGTGCGTCGCTTGCCGGTTATTATATTTTGAGCAGAGACGCGACAGTTATCGCTGGTCTTCTCGTAAATGTGTGCCAGGTGGCGGGCCCGCTGTAACTGACGCTTGTGCTCTTGCAGATCCTCGTAAAGCAGACTGCCCCTAGTAAGGATTTCTGACTTGTCCACCAATGGTACGCTAGCCTTGGGCACCATTGAGTATCGGCGCATCCGGATCCGTCGCAACTCTTGCACCGGCGGAGCAGTCACTTCAGTGTCATCGTGCTTGTCCGTAAAAAAATCCATTACGGCGGTGGCATTGTCGTCAACATCCAACGTCTTGGCGGAGTTCTCGGAGTTTTGCAGCAGCATCTGGGAGTGCACATTGGGGATCTCCAGGTCCCTGACATTCTTGTTTTTAACATCTTTTTTATTACTATTGTTATTGCTATCCTTTTCGGCATCACAGGATTTACCAGGAGCCGGGCTTGCGGTGCTGCTGCCAGCATCAGCATTCCTTTCGCCATTGACTGATCTAGGGCTGGTGGTAACTGTTGGCGTTTTCTTTGGTATACGAAAATCAATCTTCTTGACCGAGGCGCCCTTTGAGTTGCGGTACAAGGTGTCCAGTTGGGGTTCAGCTGTACCCTTTGATGATGTCGCTACCGCTACCGCATCCTCTTTTTCCTTGTCCAGTTGGCTTTCTTTTTCAACGGCCTCCAAGAGGGGTTGCTTTTCCGCCTCCAGCAGGCGCAGCTCCTCGGCTAGTTTGGCCTTGGCTGCAGCATCTGCAGCACGAGCCTTGGCCTCCCTGTGCTCGCGATAGGTGCGCGGCACATGATTGGTTGGTTGTCCTGCCTCGGATGATGCGTATCCATTGCCATAGCGACCCATAGTTGGATTGTGGCTTCCGCCGCGGAATCCGCCCCTGAAACTGGCAGAGCCGTTGAAGCTACTCACCGGAATGTTGTTGGGATTCGCATTCGGATTGACGCCCCAGTTGGGATTGGTGTATTTTTTGGGATTTCCAGTTCCATTGTTCATGTTGTTGGTGGCCTGCCAGTGATTGGTTTCATCAATGTTGTTGGTGTAAGTGCCAGCGCCGCGACATGGATCTGCTGAGTATGGCGGCGCGTCACTCTGGTGCTGCTGTTGTGGTCCATGCGAAGATTGGTTTCTGCCAATGCGTGGATCACGAGGATGATTGAGATTCCCTAGCCGAGGATCCCGACTCTTACGCGGGTCTCTGGACTCTTGATTACCATTAAAAGATCGCCTGGGATCGCTGCCCGAATCTTGGCCATAAGACCGCGACGACATTGATGAATGATCTCCCTGACTGAGGCTGTTGCTACTGTTGCTACTGCTGACGCTGCTGGTTTTGTTAACGTTCACCACTGGAATGTTGGCGTAAGTGAACCACGAGGAAGAGTTCGGCTTCATACTAGGCGCCGGCGGTATTGGCGACAATATCCGTACCATTGGAGGCGGCGTCACATTCACAACGTCTCTCAAGCTGTCATCCTTGTGCTTGGGCAGGGCGG